AAATATAAATATAAGTATATTTCATTTTCAACATGTGGCATCAATTTAACAAACTCTGTGGTCCTTGCATCTGGATGTAAAGGTCCTGCTTCTTTTCTGACGACTTCATTCTTAGACCCTCTACGTTTATGATTCTCACTTGTCACTTCTACACATACACCCTGGGAAAAAAGATAATAAGAATTTAACATGATGTTGCAATTCTAAAATAAACTCAAATATCATGTGACATTTAAAGCGAAAAAAATGATATCAGGTAACAACCACATATGGTATTCTACAAAGTGAATTCCATCACATTTTGCTAGGGATTGTAAAAAAGCAGAGAAAATAATAATCATTCTTAATAGAAGTGGACTTTTGTTTGTGAATTGCATTTAAATCAGAGGAAATTAGCACAGATTGCATTTTAGAAGTGTGCTGTTTTTGTTTTATTTCTCTGTCTAACATTCCACAGTCACATGCCATCGTATTTAAGATTCAGGATGTATTTATCACAAATCCTAATCATTGTACGTACTATCCCATGACACACTCATACAAATGCTGACCTTAAAGCTAGCAATCTTTACACCACCAGTACTATACAAGTCATTCCAAGCTACTTTGAGTGAGTTGCGTTTGTTGGTTGGAACTCTTCTCAGTGTGGGTGGCAAAACACCAGGCCAAGTAACTCGCAATATTTCTGATAGACTGCTGTTTAGGTGAGCTTTACTACATAATGCCTGTAACATTTAAATACATGTATGTTAGAAAAGACTGAATCAATAACTATAAAAGTAAAAACACTATGTCACAGGTCTCACTGGCGGTGGGGGCCGGAACAGTGAATTGCGTATTTTGAGTGCAGTGTATACGCAATTTACGGAAAAACACACACACAAGAGTTCGAGTAATTGTGGTTGCTGATAATAATCCCGGATCTTTATTTTCATTTAGCCTAAGTAACAACAGATCATAGAGAGGTGAAAGGTCACACCTTTCAATAGGGATGCATAACTTTGTCATACATGAAAATTTCTAACAAAAGTTAGCAAAAATGACTCTATGCGCGTTTACCTATAACTCATATCAAATTTAAAAGTAAATAATATTAAGAAACAATCAATCCTAACAAAACTATACAGGCATAATGCCAAGGTGCTCATGTTTCAAACAAGATATTAATTAAATAAGGATGGCAATATTAAATGATAGGATTAAGATGGATATTTTGAGTCAATACAAAAATCTTACCTAAGTAACAACAGATCATAGAGAGGTGAAAGGTCACACAAGCAAGACAGTGCAATTGACCTGTGAGGGCGCTAATCCGAAATAGTTAGACAAATGCCCCGTTAATGAATACACAAGGTTTCTGGATATAAACAAACTCAATTAGTGTTAACAAAGGGGGGATATATTTGAGGTTCAAAGAACCTGGGTCACACGAGTATAATTCAATGTTAATGTTACAGCTTAAGCTTTATTTTCTGAGTGCATTTATTCACATCAACAAGAGTATAATCTGAATTAGAAGAAATTGGTAAGATTGTTCTAAAGGCTAGCTGTGAACTCATTGATTTCTGGTTATTATACATGAGTGACTTTTGATGTAATACATGAAGTCGCTAACATAACTACAATCACGAACTGTGAAAGAAAGAAAGTTATCATGTGCCTCGCTTCAGTCAAATACATTATGGCATAACCATTTCATATGGTACCGGAAAACAGAATCAGGGAAAAGAGACGTGGGTGTGTTATATAATGTTGAAATATATATTAGGAATCATAGAGCACGTTCTTTATCACCACTCCTCTGGGGGACGTGCATAATATAGTATTCTCCAAATATTCAACATACTTTTGTGATAGTTGTCCTCAAACAGTATACGTACGCCGTCGCACAAACCTTTGCTGCGTGTCGGTCGACACTCCAGCTGTACTACTCTTCGTGCATACTTTGAGTTATTCTCGTAACAACCTCATATTATTAATAACAATGTCAGTTGTTTATTTATAGAAACTGAATGTTCATTTCCAAGGTTCGCCAGATTATGCCCAAATATGAACAACCAACGAAACACGCAATATCACGCTTGCCAGAAACAAACAAAAGCTTGTCGCAGTATCGCTAATTCGTCCTACTACCATATATACCAGCATGGCAACAGTGTTTGGTAGCCATCTTTGAATGCAGGCACAGATATAATTTATTATTTATTTATAATTTAAAACAATTTATATCAAACGCGGAACGTATATTCTATTTTATGTTTTGGTCCAAAGACAAATCACCAGTGGCGGATTCAGAGGGGGAGCG